AGGTGTACGTGGCTGGCGCCTTAGCCGGTTGAGCTATAGGCGCCGAGCCTATGAATTCTTTATTAGGGTGAATCTGAGATTAAATTTGTGGCTTTGTGATAAGTCGGTTTTAGAAGAGAAAAATCAGCAATGTAAGAATAAGGTATTTTAAAAGGAAAGGAGAGGCCAGGCAAGGTGGCTCATGCCTGTAATCCTGGCACTCTGGGAGGCCAAGGCAGGTAGATTGCCTGAGCTCACAGGTTGGAGACCAGCCCTGTTTCTAAAAATAGCCGGGCACTGTGGCAGGCCCCTGTCTTCCCAGCTACTTGGGAGGCTGAGGCAAGAGGATCACTGAAGCCCAAGAGTTGGAGGTTGTTGTGAGCTGTGATGCCACAGGACTCTACTGAGGGTAGCATAGTGTCTCAAAAAAAAAAAAAATCTTTTTTTTTTTTTTTTTTTTGCAGTTTTTGGCCGGGGCTGGGTTTGAACCCACCACCTCCGGCATATGGGCCAGCGCCCGACCCCTCTGAGCCACAGGCACTGCCAAAAAAAAAAAAAAAAATCTTCATTTAATCTCATCTGCTAAGACCCTTTTCCATATGAGGCAACATTTTCAGGTGCCAGGGCTTAGTACCTGATATCTTTGGGGGCCATTATTCAGCCTACTACAGTCACCTAAATAAGTTTTAAGCTAGGATTTTCATATAAATTATTATATACTATTAATAGCAAACATAGTTTCTTTTTTTCTTTTTTTTTTGAGACAGAACCTCAAGCTGTTGCCCTGGGTAGAGTGTCATGGCACCATAGCTCAGAGCAACCTCCAACTCCTGGGCTCAAGTGAGTCTCCTGCCTCTGCCTCCCAAGTAGCTGGGACTACAGGTGCCCACCACAACGCCCGGCTGTTTTTTGGTTGCAGCCATCATTGTTGTTTGGTGGGCCCGGGCTGGATTCAAACCCACCAGCTCAGGTGTATGGGGCTGGTGCCTTAGCCGCTTGAGCCACAGGTGCTGAGCCACAAAGATCTTAATATTATAAGACCATATTATATTATTATGGTCTTATAATAATATGTAATATTACATTACATTATAATGTAACTTTATGTTGTAATACCATATTTTCTCCTAGGTAATTTTGTAATTTGAAGACTTAGGACATTTAGACCTTTCCTTTCATCTCAGAATATTCCAATGTTTTGCCAATTTCTGAAAAGCAGGAAATGCAATAAAAAGTAAAACTCTGATTAATTTATAACTAGTCTTTGTTTTTTTGGAGATGGAGCCTCAAGCTATCCCCCTGGGTAGAGTGCCATGGCATCACGCTCACAGCAACCTCCAACTCCTGGGCTCAAGCGAGTCTCCTGCCTC